TTCTCTTCTGGCCTTCTTGCCAAACTTTTTCTCAAGTCCACGCAAAGTCAATTACTCATCCATTTCCCTTCAGGACATCTTTGCCAGACCTTTTCCCAAGCCCATGCAAAGTCAAGTACAAAAGCGTTTTTCCCAAGCCGACGCAAAGTCAATTACTCATCCATTTCCCTTCTAGACATCTTGTCAGGCCTTTTCTCAAGCCTGCTCAAAGTCAATTACCCATCGGTTTCTCTTCTGGACATCTTGCCAGACCTTTCCCAAGCCTGCTCAAAGTCAATTACCCATCGGTTTCTCTTCTGGACATCTTGCCAGACCTTTCCCAAGCCTGCGCAAAGTCAATTACTCATCCATTTCTTTCTTCTGGACATCTTGCCAGACCCTTTCTCAAGCCTGTGTGGTAAGTCAATTATTCATCCGTTTCTGTTCTGGACATCTTGCCAGACCTTTTCTCAAGCCTGCACAAAGTCAAGTACTCATCCATTTATTTCTTCTGGACATCTTGCCAGACCCTTTCTCAAGCCTGTGCAAAGTCAATTACTCATTCATTTCTTTCTTCTGGACATCTTGCCAGGCCTTTTCTAAGGCCTGCGCAAAGTCAATTACTCATCTGTTTCTCTTCTGGACATCTTGCCATACTTTTTCTCAAGCCTGCGCAAAGTCAACTACATCCATTTCTTTCTTCTGGACATCTTGCGAGGCCCTTTCTCAAGCCTATGCAAAGTCAATTATTCATCCGTTTCTCTTCTGGACGTCTTGTCAGGCCTTTTTTCAAGCCTGCACAAATGCAATTACTCACCTATTTCTTTCTTCTGGACATCTTGCCAAACTCTTTCTCAAGCCTGTGCAAAGTCAATTACTCATCCATTTATTTCTTCTGGACATCTTGCGAGACCTTTTCTCAAGCCTGCGCAAAGCCAATTACACAATTTCTTGAGCTTATGGTAACCTTCTATTTTGCACGCTTTTTCATTGGTAGATGACACACCTTCCCCCCACTCAAAATGCGATGTCCACATCGCAAACTCGTTCTCACTCGGAGGTACGCAGACCTTGACCTACCAACTAAGTAGACGGACGCCGACCCATCAGCCCCAAAAAGGAAGGGTGATCAGTCCTCCCCTTGCTGATAACTTACCTCATCCCCTACTCCGTCTGACCTTTTGCCGCTTACGAGATGGGCGCCATCACTGAGGTACCTCCCCACATCTGGCAGGTAGGTCCCGTCCGAACCTCCCTGGACCCCGTCTTGCCGTAAGGGCTTTCTCGCGAATCGTTCCTCCTGAGTGGTGTTTTCTTGGATCCGGCCTCTTTCTTTCAAGAGAATAGGGACTCTCAATTAGTTTGCGAGTGCAGTTACGAAGACCTCGAGGTTAGTCCCGGAACGGTTGTAATGATCCGGCAGGGCTGTATCACTCGCTCTGTGGTGGTAACGGCTTCTACCCTGTACCACGCCCGATTCCTCCCTCTCGACAGTGCTGCTCAACTTAATGCGAGTAGCCGTGGTCCGTTCCAAACGGTCGTGCCGCCCCCTCTACGACATGGCGTGTGGTTGGGGAGAAAAAATGAGACTTAGGAAAAAGAATGGCTCTCTCGCCCATTTGGCTCTACGCCCTTGACGTTTAGGTTTTCAACATGAGGCGCGGTTTGAACTGTCCGACTAGAGCTCGTTGTCGGGGTTAGTTCCGGACGACCAGCATCAATCAAAGATAAAGGTGCTTTGGTCCTTCAACCCTTATTCCTTCTTATGAGGAGCAGGTCGCGCTGATACTTTTTCCTGAACGGGTAGAGGTCTTGGGGTCGCGATGCAGGCATTGCTATCCCCCTTATGTTGAGACCCGAGACTAGAAGAAAAAGGAAAGCTCAATCTCTTGCTATTTCAATGGTCGGCCCGACGACCTTACATCAAGTTGCCTAGGGTCCCCTGACTATGTAATGCAATATCCAATTTTCAAACACTCAATCCCATGCTATTTCCAAGGCTGATTCTCATGGCTGGTCCGGCAGTCCCTCATCAACAAGGCCACCCACATGGCCGATCTGGTGGTCGTTCTTTCAATAGCCATTTCTCAAAACTGACCCGTCGGCCCATTCAATCCTCAACTCTCTCACTCCTCAATACCCAATCCTTGTGACCGTCCCAACGGTCCCTACCTTTCTTGATTTTAAGGCTCGACCTTCTTTATCCTGCCCTTCTCATCCTCTTTCATCCATCCTCTTAGCTATTTCAATGACCGACCTACCGACCTTTTACATCTCTTTCATCCATCCCATTGGCTATTTCAATGACCAACCCACCGACATTTTTCATATCTCATTGCTCATTCCAGCTCATTCTCAATCATCCTTTCTCAATCAATTATGCAGGGGACCCCAGTGCCTATTTCAAAAGGAATGACCCTTGTCAGGGGACATTCCCAAACAACCTGGTTAGGATCGTTCTTTTCCATTCTCAAGTTGAACAGCCTGGTTAGGGTCATTCCTTTCCATTCTCCAATCGAACAGCCTGGTTAGGGCCGTTCCTTTCCATTCTCAAGTCGAACAGCCTGGTTAGGGTCATTCCTTTCCATTCTCAAGTCGAACAGCCTGGTTAGGGCCGTTCCTTTCCATTCTCAAGTCGAACAGCCTGGTTAGGGTCATTCCTTTCCATTCTCAAGTCGAACAGTCTGGTTAGGGTCATTCCTTTCCATTCTCAATGTTAGTGCCCGAGGGAGTGGGCCTCGAGGACACGGATCCCATTTCTGTCTCGGAGGTTAGAAGATGACCATCTTTTTTCCTATTTTTAAGCGTGCAGTTTCCTTTGTGCATTTTTCAAGGCAATGTATTATCCATGCATACATCCGACTTAGCGTCTAGTACTCGAGTTGGGGCTTGCGACCTCAAGCAGCACTAGCCCACCCGGTCGTTCAACCATAGCAAAAGACAGGGGGGGCCCCCTCTTATTTTCACTCGTTCTGATGACTCGGATCTCAGCTATTCTCATACTCATTCATGACTCAGTTGGATTACGCTCCTAGGGAAGGAGTGTTCGTTACGCCCCTTAACCCATAGGTTCCCTAACCTCTCTTGTACTCGACCAACATCCAATGCCATGGTTCGCTCGTCTATCTGTACTCAAAAGTTTCTTTTCTCAAAAGTACACCTCTTATTCCATAAAAAAAACTCACAATACATTTTTCCCAACCGTTCTCATCCCATGCTCCATGTCCTCGTTTTATGTACCCACTTTTGAAGGTAGCTCATCCAGAAAGTAGCCTCAAAATACTATCTTCTAACTTATCGTGACATAGTCTTGGCTGACACTTTCATCACTCATCCTTAGCAAGCTTACTCACACTATACACATTTTGGTCCACTGTTTTGCAAATGACAAGCAGGATTCATGTTCAACACTTAATCAACATCTAATTTTTATTGCTGCCTTGTGCCTCAACTTGCTCGATTCCTTGTCCACCCTGTTCCCCGACAGACTTTCTAACCCCCAGGCCGAAGGTCTCAATTTTCGTCCTCTTCCGTGCAATTTTTTGTAACTCTGCCTCACTGAAAAAGTCCAACGGCGTGGCTTCTACCCTTGCCTTTGCTAGTTCCCGGGTCTTGATGATCCATTCGTGCTTGATCACATTGGTCCATTGCTAAAACCAATGACTGGGCGTCGGCCCAAACTCATCCTCCCATCTGAAGGCCTCTTCGCGCGGTTGGTGCATCGGAGGCCGCGTCTCTTCCCTAGGGCTCGAGATTTCATCCCTCTCATCCCCGCTGCTGATTTCTATGATTTCTTGTACATCCTCCTCCCCGTCCTCCTCGTCCTCCGTCTGTATGGGGTTATACCCTCCCGTTAGGTTCTTTGGATCGTATGTATAAGGAATCTTTGTCCTTGTCCTATACCCCTCACAACTGTCGTGGCCGCTTCGTCCTTCAAGCGGGCTTTCTCTGATCTCATCACCCTCCTCATGCTCGTCGCGCATGTCCTGCCTCCCCTCGTTTTCCCCATGCCAAGTCTCCCATTGTTCGCCCCTGTTGCCTCCTTCCTCGTCAGAGGCCTGAGCCTTATCTCCCATATCTGCATTGCCCCATTCTCCCACATTTGCCCTTTCCTTCTCGCCCTCACTCTCAGATGAGATTTCTATACCTTCTCCCTCCCGGAGGGGCGAGGGTCTTCTACATACGCACTTTTTTCCACCCCTGCCTACCACTGGCCCGGCTATGAGCCCTATGTACAACTTTCTCTTTGTCGTCCTCCTTCCTCAACTCGGTCCTCCTTCTTGCCCTCCGGTAGGCCTGTTGATTGCCCCGCTGTCATTTTCGTTGCCAAATTCAATTTTTGTCTTTTCTTGTGCTTTTCTTCTAGGTCCTGTATAACAGAACAACACCCGCACAACCCCTCATACACCCGTTTCCCCAGTCCGGTAAGCAGCTCCCTTTTCCCGGAATGCCCCCAGTATCTTTCGCATCATGCCCCTATTATACATTTCCCTCCCTTATGCAAATGCGCCGTTTGAGATAATCTCATTATTTCCCGTCAAAAGTTATGATACAGTGTCCCTGACAATCCTTCCCGTTGTCACCCAAACCCGTTACCGCAAACTCCCAAGTCATCCCACCTCCCAACCTCTGTCAGTCCAAACCATTGCCCCAGCCCCAGAAAAAATGACAGTCCCAGGGACGCAGTCAGAGACAGAACCATAGTGTAGGCAAGGCCGTTGTCAGTCATTGGCTTGTAGCCCCTCAGTTTCCTTATCCTCGGCTCCTAAAGCCATTGTTCCATTGAGTCTCGACTTAGAAACCTGACCAATCGTTGCCTTGGGAAGGGTCCTTTCCATCCAGTTTCATCTAAATCTTCCAGTTCAAAGGTGTTCAGTCCCACCCGCTTGGCGACCCGGTAGGGGCCTTTGAACCTCCTCCCCAGTTGTCCAGACCAAGTATTTTCTAGTGCCGAGTTCCTTAGCAATACGGTCTCCCCCACCTGAAGTGGCTCCTTTCTGACATTTTTAACCTCGTCCCACCTTGCTTTATCCCTCATTCTGTTGTCCAGTACCTGGTTGGCAATGTCTTCCATGACTTCTTCGTTCTTAAGGACTTGTTGACACCTTGCCTCGATTAACTCTTCCGTGGTCATTCGCGGATCATCATCTAACCTGTTCCAAGTAGGTAGCAAGGCTTCGACTGGAAAGTTGATCTCTCTTCCTTACCAAAGTTTTGCTGGAATACATCCCGTTGTCCTCTTAGGTGTCATGTTCTCTGAGAAGACAGCCTGCTTGAGATACCTAGGCCAGCTTCCGAGACGATCCGCTGCGAGCTTCGCAATCGTGTTCTTTAAGGTTCGGTGCCCTCTTTCCACAGGTGCATTGGCCTTCGGGTGATACGGCTCGATGAGTTTAATCGGTACGCAGAGTCTCTTAAGCATTCCCTATACTTCTTGGTTCACAAATTATGTCCCATTGTCTGCTATAAACCTCATGACGAAAGGATGCCTCAAGTAAAAGTCTTATATCCAGTCCGCTGCTTCTCCCTGTCTTTTTCTTGAAAGCGACCGCCTCCACAAACCCAATCAAGTTGTCTCGCGCATCTAGAATATACCGGTACCCATCTGTTGATTCAGGCATGACCACGAGGTCAAGGTGGACCAGATGTCCCGGCCCTAGCACCCTCGTAGGTCTAAGCGGCTCAAAGACACGCGTCGAGTTTCGTTCCTGGCAGATAAGGCATGTCTGGTAGTATATGGCGACCATGTCTGTCATGCCTGTCCAATAATAAAGTGGCGTTATCTTTGCGAGAGTTCCTTTGGACGACCGATGCCCTCCTGCTAATCCATCGTGCATTGCCTGGATAACATCTAACTGCCTAAATCTTCCACGCACAATTCTTCTAGGTATAGCACCTTCTTCTCTTCAGAACAAATGACCGCCCCTTAGGACGTACCTTTCGGCCTTCTCCCTTGCTTTAATGCTGATTTCCATAGGTTGTTTGTTTCCTACCAGCAACAACCCGATCTCCCGAAAGACCCCTCCGTATATTTGGGCATAAAAAAACTCCTTCCCTTCCTAGTCCTCATCCTTTCCTTCCTGCATCTAGTTTACCTTCCATTGCAACTCTTTCCTTCCCCAGGATTCCACTAAGCTCATCACGGTTTCTCGACCTCCCTCAACCGCCATTGCTATTAGTTCCTCCTTCGGTCCTACTATCGCTCTCCATGAATCTCTCTCCTCTTTACGACCTCGAGTGGTGACCGATCCTTCTCTAAGTTCTGCTACTACGGCAGGCGCCCCCTTCTCCAAAGTCCGGATTAACAGTTCTCCCGATGCGCTATCTTCGTCCATCATTTCGTTGTCCACCGCAAGAGTTCCTCCTTCGAATTCAAGGAACGCATCTATGGGTTCCACATCCTCCACCCCTTCGGGAGTGATGCAGACCCGACTCCACCCATCCGCCTCGTTTCTGATTCCAGCAATCCGTTCGATCTTGTAATCGAACTGCCAGATAAATCCTACCCATCTCCCCACCGTCGGATCTATAGGCATGTAGTTCTTTAAGGCCCCTGCGACATTCGTCGGATCGATCCTTAAGATGAACCGCCTCCCAAATAGGTAGGTCAGGAAGGTCTTGAGGCAATGTAAGATGGTTAAGACCTCCTTTTTGAACTGCGAGTACCGCCGTTCTGCGGAGTTCAGGGTTTTACTTTTGAACCTAATTGGTCTCTCTCTCCCTTCCTCATCCTGTTGAATCAGCACGCCTCCTACGACCAACGGTCCTCCATCCGTTTCTGGGATGAATGGTCGTCCCACTTCGTCATTAAAACAAGGCGCTGATAAGGCGACTTGCTCAGATGTCAATATGTCCTTGAGGGTTTGTCCTCCATCCAATCCATGGTCCCCTCTTCTCTGATCATAGCCCAGACAGGCTCAACAATCTTGGCAAAATTCTTAATGAAGATCCTCAAAAATCCGACCACGTCTAGGAACGCTCTTACCTCCATTGTCGTGCGCACGCGTGTTGGCCACTGTGATATCTTGCCTGTCTTCGCCGGGTCTGACTTCCCTACCATAAGCACCGCAGCGAAATCCTAGTATAGTTACTTCCGGTACTGCTAGAATACTCTTTGGTCCGCTAGTCGTGATGTTGTATACTAGGAACCGGCGGAGTAAGTCCTTAACGTCTTGCAGATGGTCCCATACAAATCTTCGAATCCCAGGGTGGACTTCAGTCTTGTCCTTCTCTTGAGCGCCTTTGATTGGGTTGTCATGAATATAGGGCTCACACTTTTCGGGAAACATGTCTCCGACTACGGCGAGCATTCTCCTTTGCGCTTTGGCTACCGCATTCGTAAAGCCCATAGGGGTCACCTGCATCTGCAACTAGCCTACGGGGGTGTGCATTGCGGTTTACGGTCTGTCCCAGACATCCAACGGAAGTTGGTTGTACCCTGAGTACAGATCGATCAGGGAGTAAATGCTCCGGCCGGCGTGCGATTCTGCTAATAAATCAGCCTGAGGCAGCGAGCCAGCATCCCGGATGGTTACCGCATTCAACTTCTGTAGATCCTGAATCCACCTCAGCGTCTTGTTGGGTTTCCGAAAGACGAACCACCGGTTCGCGTATGGCAACGCCGTAGGTTCCGCCTTCGGTGCGAATACCCTTACAAGGGTATCCGCCCTGGTTTTTGCAAGTGACAGAAAATAGTTTTTGTCTAGAGTTTAAGTATACCGCGCTAAGCGCGGTTGAGTCAGTAATTGCGTTGACTAGGTGGTTGACCACAATAGCGAGTGTGTGGGCGYGCAGGYTTAAGGCGCACGTGATTCTTTTCTGTTGTTGATMKCAAAGCCGGCCCRGACCTCAGTCGCGTTGCTTGGTGATATTATCATTATTTATTTATTTTTGATTAAGCAGGAAATAAGGATATTTTCTTTTGGTACAGTTGACCAAGTCAACGACCCCGACAACGGCATCGAGAATGATGCCGCGATTTCGTACGGGGAGCCGGATGTCGTAGATTGGTACGCGGGGTAATTATGGCATAATATAAGCTAGCCGGCGCGGACACTGGGAGCCGCGCAGCCGTTTTGTTGGCCCAAAAAGCGTCGCGCAGCACCATCTTGTATGGTATTTTGCGGACGTCGGTCTCAGACTTGGGCTCAGCCCTATAGGTTACGACATTGGACTGACACTACGAAAGCTCGGGGGTTGAGGTCGGTAGGGCGTCGGCGCAGCAATTACAGCGAAGCATCGCGGAAGGAACCGGTGGGGTGGAGGGCCGCCAGGGCTATCCCCTTCGGTTTTGTTTACAGGGGCGGCGGCAGGCCTGATCCGCGGGACTGGCGTGGCGCCAGCAGCCCGCTGTCTGCCGGCTCTATGTTTTTATTTTTACTCTAATTCTCTTTTCTTGTTTTATTTATCAAGCCCCGTTTAAGGACGCGAGACCGCGATGGAATCATGTGGGGGTGTGTTATATTCGCAGATTGCCCGAAGTGCAATTACAAACTGTTTTTGCGACCACGCCTGAGCTGGCCATGTTTTTATATAATTTTTGTTTACCCGTTTTTCTTAAAAYCGCGCCTCGTTTTGTCGTGGGACGTGGTGTAGTAGCGGGTGACAGGCCCCAAGAGCCTATCTTAGAGGGTACACCGTTGAACTGTCGAAAAACAGACTGCGTTTAAACCCAGATGATGGGCCTTGATGAGTAGAAGCCGAATATTCCGAATTGACTGAGGGCCGGGAACTACATCTTTATTTTAGTCAAAAAGGCGTGTTGGTATCAGGCTTGGGTTTTAGCCCTATAGGTTAGAGCATTGGACTGGTACGCAGCAGGCGCAGGGATCGAGGCCAACAGCATGTGGCTAAGGAGCGAAGGAGCGCGACAGAAAGGYTTGAGGGGTTGATGAGCCTGTGGGATTATCCCCCTCGCCTTTTTCCAATGGACGTAATAATGGGCCCGACCCGCGGCACTGACGAGGTGCCAGTAGCTCCCCGTTCCTTTCTGGTGTTTCGTTTTATTTTTATTTTTTTCATAGTTATTTCCGTCCCGTTCTATTTTGAGACGCGATACCGTGTTAGTGTCTGAAGAGCCCTAAGGGMCGGTGGGAAAGGGTAGACCCAYGGGTTTTTCTTGAAGTACAAATCAAGGAACAACGCAAGCCCGCCATCGACTTCCACAAAAGYCATKCGAAAGCGCTACCTCGGCGCATTGTGCAAGGGGATATGCGGCATGACCGAGGGCCGGATTGCGCTAGCAGCGGGCGGACTGACGCTGTGTATCAGTGGGGGCGGAACGGCGAGGCAATAGTGCTGAGAAGGGGGAGATGAATCCCGCGCGATATCGCGCCAGGTACAGCCATAGCGGGGATGGCGGGAGGCTAGCCAAGTACGGCTAGCGACAGGGGGCCAGGGCAAGGCAGCGGGCGCTGCGTTTGAGGCTACGGGCGTTAGGCTGCCGAGTAGGAACGGGCGGAGTGTCGGGGAGCAGGGCGCGAAGACCATGAAGGAGGGGGGTGAACCGGGACCAGAATCGCGGTCGGGTGCATACGGTGTATGGGCTAAGAAAGGCGAAGGCAGTGAGGGAGTGAGG